GGGGGGGGGGGGGGGGGGAGGGGGGTATTAATAGTCGTGCATGCCGTAGTCGTTAGACCATTGATTTCGCATCCCTAAAAAGCCGGGACGGAGCACGCCGGGTTTTCACTGGACCAGACTCTCACATCTGGGGGGGGGGGGTATTCACGTTTTCGCATGCCCTGTAGCGTCTAGACCATTGACCGCGCGTTCGCGAGAGGACACAACACGGGGTAAATTTCATGTCTTGCACGCCTTGGCGTTTACACCGTTGACCACGGGTCCTCAGGAGAGGACGGGGCAGGGAAGGCGGGGAAGGTGTGGAGAGAGAAAAGAAGGGGGGTTGGTCCGCACAGCAGAGCCGGACAGAAGCGGGGGGTGGAACGCGACACGCTTTAGAACCGATATGGTCGGTCTACAGCGTCAAACACCATTTCGGATGTTGCTCCGTATAGAAAGCACGGCATGCGCATACCAAACGAGAGCCGTAGGTTCATGGTCCATGCCAAGATAGAGCGGCAGAGGAAGAGCGTACGGCAGGCTGTGTTATGCTCGTCTTGGCGAGCGTGTGGCAACAGGACGGGGCGACATCGCGCTCGCGGCACCATCACGGCGACAGAGTTTTCTCGAAATCGGGCATGGGTCCCGGGCTTCGAGTATCGATGAAATCCATGCTCTCTCAGACGTGCAAGGAAGCTAGCTCAAGGGATCTCGGTTGTTCGACTTGGCTGCTGGACCCCCTATCTTCCCAGTCACAGCAGTGGGGGGCCCTGTTTAGGGCCGGTTGAATGTAGAGCCGTTGTGCGGTATAGTGCTGATAAATTGGCTCTGAGCACGTACCGGCACTAAACAGCCCGCGCTCCTGTAGCTTGTACAACGCGACGTGATGCTATCATATACCAAAAAACCTTCGATTTGCTATCCATGCGTTCGGTTCGCCGTGTGAGTGAAAGACCCCCCCCGGCCATGGCACATATATCTGATTTGGCACGAGCAAACGCAAGGATGACCAGTTTACGTTCATCAATGTAGCCTGGTCCGACGAAAACCCGGCACATATATCGCTCCGTCCTGGCATGCGGGGTCAACGGTCCGACCACTGCCGCATGCGTTTGCATGAGCACAACTCATTTTGCCTATCGTGCCCCTGTGCGCCCAACTCTTATCTCTCTCACCGCCGCATCGAACAGGCTGCCCGCCCGCTCCGCGAGGAACGCGCAGATGACCCCGTGCTGCTGCATCATCGTGCTGTCCCCGACCATGGCCACGCGAAACGGCTGCTGGGTACCACCGCCGCCGCTGCTACTCGCGTCGCCCCCATTCCTCTCGGCCTCGGCGAGAGCGGCGACTTTGTCTATCCGCGGCTGTGCCATGGAGTTCCTGGGGCGAGACGGCGGGAGAGGGTCGGGGGAGGGGGGTGGACTCTCATGTTTTAAATGCCTCAGAGGATCGACCGTGGACCACGCGTTCTCAAGAGGAGAGGGAGGTGGAGGTAAACACACACGCCCAGGAAATTTCCAAAGGTTGGGCCGGCCGGTAGCGGGACGGGGTAGGCCCGCAAGAGCAAGCGATACTGCTTGATACCATCACCCTCGTTTCAACCTCGCCGGCACCAACGAACCCCAACTGAAATGTCACCAACGCCTTCCGTCCTCCTTCCTCCACCGGCCCACCTTCAGCGTGTCTTCTACTACTCTGGGCTAGAAGATTATGTATGTCCCGCAGGGGGCAGCGGCGCAACGGAGGGACAGGGTTAACAGAGAACGTGCGCGAACCACTTAACAACTTGCAGGTAACAACCTGACCGTTCACTTGTTCGAAACACATCAGAAGGAGAACCCACCCCGCCGCGCACACAGGCATAAAACTAGTAAGGGTGCCGGCTCATGAGGGCACAACAGAAGCGTCATCACAGGGGTGATACAAGATGAAACTTATCAGAAGCAATGCTCTGCCAGTTTTGACGTAGTCTGAGGTCGAACAGCACCCACACAGTTCGACTAGGAGAGACCAGTTCACACCTACCGAACCAAGGGACCAAAACAATTCCAAGTCTGCGGAGCAGCAGCCGGACATGAGAGTACCTACAGGCTTCCCGGCACAGAATCAAAAGGAGGGAGTGTCGGGGGGCATGCCAGATGAACACGAAAGCCCTTCAAAAGCTGCTCAGCCTGTATTGACGTTGTCCAATGGCGAAGAGCCCACAACGCTGTACGCGTTTGGACTCGAACAGCCAAGCCCAACACCCCACAAAAACACTCCGAACCAAGGCACAACATTTTTAAGCCTGTGCTACTTTTCGTCCCCAGAGGTTCCGGGGCACACGGGGGGAGTGTCGGGGGGCAGACTAAAGCAGTATGGTTCTCAAAGCGGCCGGGTGTTTCGTCTGCATGTCTTCACCACACCAGACAGAAAAAAAAACAGTTGGCAACTTACCAGCGGGTGAACCAGGTGTCGCCGCTGACACCAGAGCTTAGGAAGTTCTTCCACCGCGCCCCGCTCATGTACTTTTCCGGCTGAGCGTCTACCCCCGCCCGATGCATGACGAGCACGCCGCACGCCGCCAGCACCGACGCAAGGGTCGTACCGACGAGAAAGAAAGGCGATATGCTGCTGCTGCTGCTGCTCCGTCTTCCGTTGCTGGTGCGGCGGCAGCGGCGGCTACTACCGCCGCTGTCGGCCAACGCGCTCGAAGATGGCGGAGACCGTGATGGCGGAGCGGGGCACGCTTCATTGTTGCCGGCGGCGACGGGGGCCAGCGGAGGAGCGGCACTCTGCCTTGGCTGCGCAAACATGACCCTGGGGTCCCTGGAGGAAGGGAAATATCCTGAAAAAATTGGAGGTGGGTGGCGAGGGGAAGAGGAGGCACGCGGCTTATGTATGGGGTTGATGGCAGGGGGTGCAGAAGCGAACATACAGGGAAACACTATAAATAAATAGTAGAAACTCCTATTTGAGCAACTCAGATGCATGTGTTGGGGAGTGAGTTGCGGCGGTTGAAGTGCGGGACGAACCCCGGACAGCGGGTGCCTTCTGCCTTGCCATGAACGACACAATAATAATAGTGGCCATTTGCAGCAAAACCTAGAGCCCCACCCTCGGCCACAACTAGAGGTTTTTGCGCGGGCGCCAACTGCTGCATGTAACTATGTGCAAATGCGCATCACCACCTACCGAATACTTTCGACACGAGAAACACACCCCCTGGACCGACTTTCAAAGCTCGATCTCTCAATAGCGGAAAGAGTCACAGCGACGAAAATGGCGGCGTTGAAGCCTTCTCGTCGAGAACTTTCTGAAGATGTATCGTTTCGTATATGCATCGTCTTCGCCGTGGCGTAATTGAGCTTTGAAAATCGGTACAGGGGGTGCGTTATCTTGTGTCGTTTAGGTACAGTCTCTTATGTAGCTAGCATACAGCTACGTACAGCCATGAACATTTGTAGTTACAGGAGGGGGGCGTCAACAACGCCGGTTGACTAGCGCCGGTGGCCCTGAATAGCGAAGGTGAAAGTGCCGGGTACAGAGTGAATCACCAAGTGATTGCGTGCGCATTGAATAGCACCGGTCGATGCGCCGGGCAACGTACCGATATTGAGGGCCCCACTGCTGAACATAGGATACAGCAAAAATTTAGTAGCATGCTAGGAAACATTAATACATGTTACCCGCAGGGGAGATGTTCCTATATGCTGTCTGGGAAATCGTAGACATACAGGTAGCTTTTTCTGACGCTATGAATTCATTGCTAATCTGTCTCTGACTCTTTTCTATGATAGAGATGGGATTGTGTCATATTATACTAAATACATGTGTATCTTGGTGTATCTACGTACAGCAGTAGGTTCGCGACGAACGGCCTGTCTTGAAAAGTTGCTCCGTGCAGCATCCAGCACCCGAACTGGCCCTGCTGGGCAGGAGAGACCAAACCCCCGTTTCTTGCACGTGTTGGTGGGCACAGCGGGGAATATAAGTGGTCTACGGATGTGACTAAGGAGAGAGAGAGGACACACGACATTGCGACTGCACGAAAGGGCACTCTAGCACTGTAATACTACCTGTGCAAGCGGGTGTCCTGTACAGACCATTGGGTAGATGTTCCCCCGGACTACCTTACTGCTGTAAACCAAGGAGTACGTGTTTTCGGAGCTCTCGGTACACCTCGACATCCACGAAAAACTGTTGCAGCAGCGCCTGCCTTCCTGCTAGTGTAGCTCCAAACGACACCTGTGCGCAGCGATCTACCTATGGGCTCACCTTATCCACGAGCTGCCGTGCTCTCCACCAAATGCCACACACACATATTATACGTGTACAGCATGTCTCTCTGCTCTCTGCCTCTTGCCTCGGCGCGCAAACCTCCTCTGAGATAATATGGGTTTTAGTAAACCTGGTCGGCGTGTCGCAATAGTGGCGGTTTGAATATATGGACTCCAAGATGCACCGCATCGCTCATGCATCGCTCGCGGACTCCTCGAGAACGGGGGTGGCTGCGACGCAAGCGACACTTGGACACCAAGCGGCACGGCTATGGCCAAACCGAGGAGCCGCCAGCGCGGTCGGGACAGTCTCGAGAACGAACTGAGAGAGCTAAATCGGTTGTACCACTGGGACAGGATGCGGTCACCTTCGTCCTCCACCTCCTCGCCTAGAGCATTTGGTTTCGAGGCGGCGGCATCCAACATCGGCAGCGTCACGAAACGCAGCAGAAGCAGGCGGCGGCGGCGGCACGGAACAGACTTGAGCGGCATAGAAATCGGAGATTGCAATGATGTAAACCTACAGTGGTCCGAAGCCTGGCCGCAGCAGCCTAAATATACCTCTGCCGAGGATCCGTTCCTATCAAGGTATGGCTGTTCGTGTTTATCACACGGTGTGTACAGCAGTAGTAGATAGCGCAGCAGCACCGACCATCCCGCTGGTGCTTCCTGTCCCTGAAAAAATCACCAGCCCATGCGGTGGGCTGATACACCCTCAGCCCATGCGGTGGGCTGATACACCCTCATCAACCTGGTACCGGTTTGTAGATCTACTCTGCTGTGCCGTCACATATGTAGTCCCGAGATATCGCGGTCCCGAACAGGGAATCCAGAAGAAGAGGGGTTTTGACGCCGGCTCTATTCTCAATTTTATCCAACAAAATTAAGGAAAGAAAAGAACCTTCCCGCCGAAGGAACCTGGTATTTATGTAGTACTAATATCAGTAGAAGACACCATCAAGAGGCGTCGTGCGTGCTGGCACGTTCAGGTTTGCCGCTGGAGCTGAAATATCGAAGGTCGCAGCAGTCTCTATAAACAGTCCGAAATCTGCGCCGGAACCAAGGAGCATCCAACATTTGCATTTGACACAGCTGTGCTCACCGCCACGGACCGTAAACCGATGAACGGAGGTTGTCAGCAGTAGCTATGTAGTGGCATCAGTTACTGCTGTAAACCCGCAGTTCAGGAGATTGGGGTCAGTGGCGGCGAGCACAAGCAGTACAAGACACAAGACACTTGTGTCGGTCTAGTTTGCGGAATTTGCGGAGATTGTAGGCCACTACAGTAGTAGGGGGCCCGCAGTAAGGCCGCATAGTGCCACGACATTAAACCGGCCGTATTGAGGGCACCCGGCGTTATATAGAAACGGCCCTGTATAAGGCCGGTACCGGCCGTATTGAGGATTTCTAATTCCTCATCAAGGCCGGTACCGGCCTTATAGAAGACCCGTGCGCCTACCGTAGGCCATACGAAGCGGATGCGTTTGAATCGGTGCTTTGCTATCACGTTCATTCCATTCTTCCCATCCAACCTTTCTTCGTCTCCCAGGTACATGTCGAATCGGCAAGCAATAATACTTCCGGCAGACAAACGTGAATACTGTGATGAAGAAATACAACGGTAGAAAATGAAGTAGACACCAGGCAGATCCCCTCGTTTCGCAGAAAAACAAAGGAAACAAGTCCGTATGATACGCATTTATGTGACCCACCGTAAGAGACGACCATCTGAGTGGTCATCGTGCTTCTCAACACTCCCCCTGCTGTATTGTAACCCCAGACGTAACAACCGACCAGTGCACAGCACCATGCATTCATTCCTTCCTAGAAACGACTGAAACGGCACATGTAACGGCACAGACAATCCTGACAAAACGTCCTGAGAAAAAACGAGACCACCACCAACACAGCAAACGCTGCATAAGGCATGTGCCTTCATTGGTAGCGTCGGGAGGGGTGCGTGCTGCTAGCTCCGCGAGGCTGTGCACTAGCTGTGCACGAGAGAGGGTATGATATGCTGCGAAACCAACGTCACTTCTTCGGAGACCGGCCTTGTTGGGGGCAAGCGGGGGGGCATACCCGGCCTTATATCGGGCATGCCCTTAATAAGGCCGCCACAGATGTCGTCTACAGTAGCGATGTTTGTACTATGCACCAGGTTCCTGGCAACACAGATCTTATCTGAGCACTTGCCGTTTTGTTTCATTTGGCTTGAATTTAGAATGGCGTGACAATTCATCTTGATTTCAAAGGAGGCGTGTAGAGGTAGACGCGTGAAATGTATGTTTAGAGCAGCCCCCACTGCCGCCCTGTGCGAGAATCAACAATTTCTGTTTTTCTCGATGCCTTCCGACTGGTCTTGTGTGTCTCTTGTGCGTTTTCTGGTGCTTTTGCGTTTGTTTTCAAAGTTTGTCGACAACCCCTTAAGCCCTTGACACGAAAGCCCATCCTACTAAATAAATCGCGGGTCCCCATATAACGCGGTGATTCTTGTTTGTCACTACATACCATGCAATCACGGCGATATATCGCGACCACTACTGCTGTACTACTGCTGTATTATTCCTCACCGTAAAACCGCACCGGAGGGAGAGACAAGGGCGCGCCATGCATCTCACCGATTGGGAGGTGTAATTGGAAGCAGCGTACACATTCCACTGTCGTGGTGTGCGGCCGTGGACACACTTGACGCCCCAAGGTTTAGGTTTCGACGTGGAAGAGCGCGAGATTTCTGCCCTCACGGAAGCTGGCTTGGCCACGGCCCTCGTTGACGCACAAGAACGGCTTGGTTCGATTCCGTACTGGCACCTTGGGGGGATTTTCGACGGAAGAAAACATGCCGCACGCCCTGTTTTTATCGATGGGGCATGTGTCTGTCTCATCGGCGGTTGGCATGGTAGAGGGTACGTGGGAGTTATCACAGCCATTGCAGCCATGCATCCGTACAGCAGTAGCTTGCGGTGCGTGAAACACGATCATTCCGCATTCACCAGGCCTAGGAAGTGCACCCACGCTTGACAAGCGTCCTATCATTGTGTCCATCCCGTCGAACCGCTTGTCGTACGAAATATACGAAAATCGATTCCTCTTGAGTACTCCGGGAGTAAATGGCTGCCATTGTACGGTCGGGCTCCGCGAAGAAAGTTCTGATGCCAAAAACTCTGCCTCGCCCTGATGTTCACAGACCTGAGACTTACCGACGGAGGGACCGCGCTGTCCTCGTGAGTGTCGAAATTTTTTTTTTGCGGTTGTCGTTGTTGTTGTTGTTGTTGTTGTTGTTGTTGTTGTTGTTGTTGTCTTCGCATTAAAAACCGTTCCGATCTCTCTCTACCCAGTGCCTTCGTATGTCCGTACTGATCCAACACTCGACGCGGTCGATTCCCGTGGCCACAGGTTAACTTACCCTAAAAAGGTACACTCAAATAAACTGGCCCCGAGGGGTCCACAAGTCAATAGAAATCAACGACAGATATTCTGGAGTTGTTGTGCGATGGTGGAACAGCAGCGAGAGGTACATCAGGTCCTAAAACGGTTTGGAGCTTTGTGTGAGCTTGAGCAGTATCCTGTTACACCTCGATTGTGTGGGAGATTGCACAGGGGTATCTGGTTCGGTGTGAGAGGATGGGTATTGCCCATGTATCTCAACCTTATCACCGGTCACGCTTACGCTACCCCGTTCCTCGGCCCCCTTTGCTTTCTTGCCCCCCCCCCACCCTCTCTCTCTCGCGTGCGCGTGCTCCCCGTGACCCTCTATGGTCCGAACCGTCCGTGTTTCTCTTCTTGCGTGTGTGTCATTTCTCTCCGCCCTTCTATTTCCCACCTCTCTCTCTCCTTCCCTTTCGCCGCGCGCTCCCTTTCTCGGTTCGCTCTCAAACATTTTTGGTGATACTCTTCCTCACCCTGCAAAAAAATATTCCAAAGGCCCTCGGTTGGTGCCCAAGGAGAAACCGCCGCTGAAGCAGAAGGGGCTCTGCTCAACACCTACGATAGCGCCATCAAGACATCGTCTGACCCCCTTCTCCCCGACGACCGCCAGACCGACGGCAGTGATGCGAAGCGGCGCCATCAAGTCGCCACGCAACCTCCTGGCGTCTCGCCAACGCCTTCTCCGGACCGCCACCGGGCGAGCACCGCCTTCGACGCGGCGGATGATCCTTCTCGCGCTTCCCAGAGTCCGGGTGGCGTCGACGGCGATTGCTGCTCCGAGAGCGGAGAGCCCGGGAACTCGGAGCACCCACCTGCGGCTGTAGCGGTAGCTTTTTCGCGGTCCTTCGTAAACGGGGCTTCGGACGGCGACCAGGAAGGCGCGGCGGATCTCCGGGCGATGTCGTCGGGGCCGGGTAGCGCCCGAGGTTTACCGGGTGCGGTGCCGGAGCGGCGGCAGCAGCACGGGGCGGCGGTTGGAGAGGCTACGGCGATCGCTGCAGGTGATGAATCCGACGGTGGCGTCGGCGGAGGGTGTGGCGGAGAACGGCGCCGGAGTGTCGCCGCGGTCTGCCCCGAGCACGCCTCCTCGTCCTCCTCCTCCGCCTTGGGCGATGAAACCGTCGTCGTCGTCGCGGAGGGAAGAGCGGCGGAGAAGGAGACGGGCGGTGACGATAATGTTGCGCCCAACGGCGATCCGACGACGGGAGGAGGCGACAGCCCGGTGGTTTCCGCCGCTGCCGCTGCTCATTCAACTGCCACGGACACGGATGGGAAGCCCGAAGAGTCCGATGGCGACAGTAGTGGCAGTGAAAGCAGCAGCAGCGGTAGCGATGACGGTATCGGCATCGGCAAACGCGGTGGAATTTTCCGAGGGCAGCGTGGGCGAACGCGAATGCCGAGAAAGAGAAGAGTGATAGTCGAGGACTATTCCGACGACGATGGTGGGGGAAACGTGTATCCTGCGGAAACCCTGAACGTTATTGCTTCCGAACCGTCGTCAGAGGAGGAGGACGAGGAGGACGAGGACGAGGACAAGGAGGACGAGGACGAGGAGGACGAGGAGGAGGAGGAGGAGGAGGAGGAGGGGAGAGAGGAGGAGGAGGTCTCGACAGGTGGGGTTGCCTCCGGCGCCAGGTTGGCCGAGGCTTGCGATATCATCGGAAGAGCAAGAGGAGCCACCAGCAGCACGACTGAGAAGACGTCCTGCCGCCCTGAGAGACGGCGCCGCGTGCTGATAGACGAAGATTCAGACAGCAGCGATACCGGGTGTGCGGTCTCCCCGGCCGCTACTACTGCTGCTGCTGCTGCTGCTGCTGCTGCTGCTGCTGCTGCTGCTGATGCTACGGTAAGCGACGAGGATGATTCCCCTTGTGAGGTGACTAAGGCACCGGCCGTGGACGGTCATGGAGGACTTCACCTTGCCGGGCCACGGAGGCGGAAGGGTGAGAGGGCGGCAGGGGCCGAACTCAAGCAGAGGAAGCCTGATAATGAGTCTTTGGCGCAGGGTGACGTCCCCCTGGAGGTCGATGAGAGCTCTGCTGGCGGTATTTCTGGTGCTGATGCTGATGAGTTTCATCCAAGCATTGGCATCGTTCCGAGCGACAGTTCTGACGTGACCGGCAGCAAAAGAACCGCGAGCTCCGGCTGCGCTGGTGACGGTTATCGCACAGCCGTTGACGAGGACGGTTGTTCCAGCGGCGACGAGGGCTCGCTAGACGCCGCAGAGGAGTGGAACATCGTCCCCAGGCCCGTGACAGCCGGCGACGCGAGCAGCGTCGAGTCTGGCAGGTGTTCGGACGGCGCCTCGGGACGGGGGCTCCCGCCGCGAAATATCAGTGTGGGGGGGCACGACGACGAGGACGATGATGATGACGTGGTTGACGTAGGGAGAAGGCCGGGGGGAAGGGTCGCCAGGGGTGGCTCGGCGAGACGGCGGAAGGTGTTGGTGGAGTCCTCGGAGTCGGGTTCTTCTACACCGGGGAGTGAGGGGGCCCGCGGAGAAGAACGAGGCTTCGCTCCCCGTGGCCCTGTCGTCGTCAGCAGCGAGGCCCATGATGGGGAGACCTGCAGCGGTGGCGATGCTGGGCGCGGTGTTACCGCTGCCGCAGCCGGGACGATGCCATCTCGCCGCCCTCGTCGCCAGGGGAGGAGGGTTATCGACGACGACGACGAGGAGAGTAGCGACGATTCTACCCAGGAGGAGGTCGTCCGATCTGTGAGCAGCACCGGTAGGAAGAATGCAGATATCGGGGGGTTCTCCTACGTCGTCGAGAGCTCTTTTGAGGATGAGGAAGAGGAGGAGGAAGAGGAGGAGGAGGAAGACGTAAGTGAACATCAGCGACCCACGGCGGGCATAGCTCAGAAGGAGAAGCCCACTGCTGCTGCCGCTTCCTCGGCGCCGTCGGAGGGTGAATCGTCCGACGACGCGGGCGAAGCGATCCGATCCCGAAGACGACCAAGAGCTGCCGCACGTGGTAAGCGCTCTGCTTCCGCGGTTCAAGTCGCCGATTCCTCTTCGTCTCCGGCCAGTAGCAGGACGGCAGCCGGCGGCGTTTCTCCCCGGGGCGACAAAATCACTTCCACCCGCGACGACGGTCATGACATCGACGACGACGACGACGATGAGTGGTCTATCGGCCCCTCTACCAGACGCCCTAATCTCGATCGCCGTCGCAAGGTGCAAGAAGGCCCGTCCTCCGACAAAGACTCACCGCGTCCGTCTCCGGCCGCTGAGACGCCCGCGAAGAGCAGTCGCCCGGCGAAGCCCCGCAGGGCGGAGCCTGCCGAGGACAGGAGGGGAGGGGGGCCCGCAGAAGGGAAATCAGGGGGAACCGTGAGAAAGAAAGGGCGCGCCCAAGGCGGTGGCGTTGATTCGGCTGCGGGAGGTCTGACCGGCGCTGCGTTCTCGAGGGCAAGAGACAGGTGCGGTGTTGTGCGAGTGGGGTGTGTGTCCGTCCGCGTTAGATGGATGGTTGCTAGTTTGCTGTTACCGTAGTTTTTATGGCACGGGTGCGTGTGTCCGTCCCCGTGCTTGTCTTTACGTCTATCGTGTGGTGCGTTTGGCCGAGTTGTTACGCGAGGGCTTGCAAGGGGCGGCCGGGCCCGGCTCGCCACCTCGCCGTCGTTGTTTGTGGACGGCGATTTTTCGGTAAAGTGTCATGCTTTCCTTGTCTCGTTTCTCCAGGCAACACATCGACCTTGTCCCCGGTCCCCGGCTTTGCCGTACCCGCACCAACAAGCAAAAAAACGAATCAGAGGATTTTGGCTCGGTTTGGTTCAGTGCAGGGAGGCGTGCGAGAACCTTTCACCGCCCAGAGAGTATGGACGCACAATGTTTTTTTTTTTTTTGTAACTACCTCCACGGAAGCTTTCGCGTCAGTTGAGCCGTAAGAATATTAATGTCATAGGAGTGCTGAGACTGGAACATTTCTTAATGCGAAGACGCCACCACCGACACCGACCCGTGCCGCCGTCCCGTACACCGCCTGCATCTGTGCCGAAAACGAACAAACCCAAGCCTGACGGCAAAGTACTTCGCGGAGTTCAACGAGGGTGCCTTCGGGGGGGCCCTGTCCGACGTGAAGGTGGCCTGGAGCGCGCGCCTTTCGACCACGGCGGGGGTGACCAAGTCCCTCCGCCGGGTTAATCCCTCCGGGGAGGACTACGCCTACCTGTCCACGGTCGAGCTGTCGACCAAGGTTTTGGACAGCGAGGACAAGCTCCAACAGGTGGGCTGGGCCGGTTTTTGTCTCTCACTAAACGTCAAGATCGTCGGTTGTGTTTTTTTTTGTTTGAGATGTTTTTTCTGACAGCGGTATCAACATATCTGTCGATGGATTCGTCGAAAAGTCTCGGTCGATGATTTCGAGCTAGCGTTTGATTCATTGATGTGAATCTCGTCTAGCTGCTGATGACGACGTTTGCTCGCCCGCTTTGACGATGCTGCGGGACGACTTTTCAGGGAACTCAATATCCCTGAGATTGTACCGTCACCGCCTGTGTGTGGGGGAAGCATGGTTCTCGGGAACACCGTACAAGCAGACTCATTTCTTTTGGGCGCGTGGTAGCGGCCAAACTCAACACGATTCTTGTCCCAGTGACACGTAATCTCAGACAGCGATCATCAGTAGTATCTGGCAGACGGTGCAAGACCAAACGCGCGCACTCGACGCCGCAAAAAATCACTTAACGCCATCGCCCACCTTTGCCTCAAAACCCGCCGCCGCCTCGCCGCCGCCGCTATCAACTCGAAACCGTGTCTACCGCGATGATACCGCAAAACGGCCTTACACTCCCAGCAGACGCTTCTGCACGAGCTCTGCCACGCCGCCGCCTGGGTGGTCGACCACAAGTCCAACCCCCCTCACGGGGAACACTTTTGGGCCTGGGCCAACCGCGCGAAGGCGGCCCACCCGGGGGTACCCATCACCACCTGCCACAGCTACGCCATCAACTACAAGTACCGCTACACGTGCGTGGGGGCGAGCTTGGCGGGAGGCGGCGGTAGTGGCTGCGACGACGAGGCGGGACTGTCAGGGGGTCGGGGTTGTGGAGCGGTGATCGGCAGGCACTCCAAGTCCATCGACGTGGCGAGACAGGTGAATCTTCGCTTTTTCTTTTTTTTTGTTGTTCACGAAAGGTCAGCGTGGCTTCTGAATACGCGTGTGTTGTTCGGGTTCGGCATCGGTCGTGCCACCGCCGCTCCGATGTCAGATATTTCCTTGAAGAAAACCCACGCAAGAATTTACAAGGCCGTAAATCTAGTTCGCGTTGGTCGGGCGACGTAGGGTCCCCGCGGAGGAGACTGGACGAAAGCGCCTCCGGATTCGGGTTTTTGCCAAACATTACCCGACAGCGGCATGATGATGCCGTTTGCCTACGTGTATTGTTCGTTCGAGGGGGCCGATTCTAGACGGGTAATTGTGTGATGTTGGTGCTAAATTTCGTCTACCTTGTGTGGGTACACGTTTTTCGGGATGGACGAGGTAAGCTTCAAACAGCCGCTTGTCTAGCAGGGGTTCTTCATCGCCATCCGCCTTCTCTTAAAGCCGCCGGCTCTGCGGGGAGAAGACTTTGTTTGTTTTCCCTTTATTCATCCCCCTCCCCAGTTTACCCGTCTTCTCCTCCGTTTTAGTGGTGGTGTCCAAGCAGCGCTTGATTTTGGGAGAAAATTGAGATAAATGGTCGTTCACCGTCCCCAGGCGAAACAAGCAAGCCGGTTACCCCCTGTTAAGGGACGGCAGACAACGACTTTTGATGTTGGCAAATTTTGAAAACAAGCGCAAGAGCACAGCAGAAAATGCAAAAGAAACACACAAGACCAGTCCGAACGCACCGCAATAAACAGAAACAGGGCGGCAGCAGAGGCTGCTCTAAACACACTTTTCACGCGTCTACCTCCACACGCCTCCTTTGACATCATCAGCAGTCTAAGTTCAAGTCGAAAGAGCCTAAACGGCAGGCGCTCAAATAAGTTCGGTTTTGCACTACGTTCTATAATTCTACTGATTTCACTAGAGGACACCCTATAACAACGGGGTGTGAGTTGTAGCGCGCTCAAATATGCTTCTGGGTGTTGACATCAAGGGTCGTAGTAGCGGCCTACAATCTCTGCAGATCTCCGCGGATTAGACCGACACCCAGAGTATCTTGTGTCTTGTACTGCTTGTGCTCGCCGCCACCGACCCCAAGCTCCCGAACTGCGGGTTGACTGCAGTAGCTGATGCCACTAGCTACTGATGACGACCCACTCCGGGGTTTGCTGTCCGTGGCGGTGAGCACGGCTGTGAAAAGTGTTTGTGGTTCCGGCAAGTTCCGGCAGATTTCGGACTAGTCTCAGAGACTGCTGCGACCTCCGATATTTCAGCTCCAGTAGCAAACCTGAACGTGCCAGCACACAGGACGCCCGTTCATGGTGCCCTCGACTGATCACAGTAGAAGGCATAGAATCTAAACGGCGGGAAGTTGCATACCGTTTCTTTTATGGATTCAAGGGTTTTAGAATAGAGCCAGCGTCAAAGTAGCTTGTCTTCAATCCCTGAAGCGCCGGTTGCCCCTCCCACCTCAAGGTTTGCGGCCGATGCAAGGGGCGGCTCGTACTCTTCGGCACCCACGGCACGGACGGGAAGCTCAAGAAGCCGCGCGCGGCGACCGGGTTCAGCCTGTTCGTCAAGGAGCGATACGCCGAGGTCAAGGGGGCTCTTCCCCCCGGCACCAAGCAGCAGCAGGTCATGAAGGTCAGCGCGGGTTTCTCGTGATACATAGCGCAGGGTTGGGTGGAGAAGCTTGTCTTTTCTTCAAGGATCCTTTGCCCGGCGAGCTTGTTGTAGGCGAGAGCTGACGCCAAAAGTGCTCTCTTGGGTTAGAACGGGGTGGGTTGTATTTTTCGGAGCTGCGGGTTGCTGCGTTGTGCGCCAAGGAAGGACTGTTTTTTTTTGGGCTGTCTTCGTCAATTTCTCCGCGGAAATATTACTGCGGAAAAAAACACAGTAACTGCCGTTGCCCGTGATCCCATGCGTACCCAGTTCGTGAGTCTCTGGGGCTATATTGGGGAAATCAGGCTGACTTGGCGGCATGTTCCGAAGTACCATGCTTTTTTTTTTTTGTTTGGTTTGGGGGCAAGGGAGAGGGTTCCTCGGGTGCAGCACGCGCTATCTGCCTCCCGCTTTGTGTTGGCGTGCGTGAAGGCACGAAATTCAACCTCTTTCGATGCAGCGCCACGGTCGTTCCAAACTATTTTCTCTACCTTCTTGGCGGCCCACACGTATAGTCGACCCCAGACTCTAGGCAAAAGCGCAAAAGCCCCGACTCTAGGCAAAAGCGGTCGGCGTGGCGTGGAGAGAGTCTTCGTTCCGGAGGCATGCGAAGCGCCGTGCATTTCCGGCCTCGAAACAATGAGCAGCAGAGCAGGTGAAATACCGGACCTCGCTATCGAATCCTCCGCTCCCCCAAACAAACCAATATTTTCGTTCCCAACACGTCCATGTGCAGGAGATGTCGAGGCAGTGGGCAGCGCGCGGGAACGTTGGTAGTGCCGCAGGCGGCGGCGACCGCCCGTCCTCCGCCGGTGCGGATAGGATCGGTAAGGCTAACGCCAAGGCTAAGGCTGCGGGTGATCGCGGCAGCGGCGCAGGAGCGGTTCCCCTTCTTGACAAGGAGAACGCCTCGTTCGTTGACCTGACGTGACCGTCGAGTCGGGCCTCGGCAGTTGGTTGTTGTGGGCGTGGGTGTATCTCGCAGTTGCTGCTGCAGCCGCGATTCTGGTGCCACAAAGGCGAAGGAAGACGCCTAGCGGTGGAAGCGGAAGAGCTCGAGCCGGTAGGCGTCTGCTGGCATGATGGCAAACACGAAATCCCCCCCTGATATTGTACGTCTAGTGGCAGCCGCCCTAGGGTGGACCCCGGGGACAGGTCGACTTCATGACTGATGCGACCTACAGTACTTAGTGTCACTGAGGGAGATTTGTCGCCACGATCCGTTTGAAGCCGCCTCGCCGCGTGCATGCTCGATTGAAAGTTTCACGAGCAAGTCGTAGATGGGTAGACCACCACCGACGGACGCATGCACTGGACATGCGAGTGCGTTTCGCCTCCATCTGTACTACATCGGGGACCAGCCAATAGGCTGCAATACCTTTCGTTATCTCATTGATGGTCGTCGTTGTATGCGTGCTGCCCCTGTCATAAGTCTGTTGGACGAGAGAAGAGCGAAACGGGTAGAGACCATGCTGGTTGGGGTGTACGACCGACTGGAGGTGCTCTCGGCTCGCTTGCCACACGCGGCAAGTGAGGTCAAGACGAGGGGTACCGATGGGTGGGTCGAGGACAATTATTGGTGCTCTTTCGCCTCGCGCTTGCCCTCGTGGTTTACTTTCTCTTCTTGAAGAGCTTTGGTGGTATGGAATGCGCATGAAGTCCTCGTCTAGCGAACAAAGCGTCCTTGTCAGATGTCTGATTTCGCGCGAACGTCTCTCTCTGTACTTGGGTGTACTGTTTGACACTCTTCTGTCCGAAACATACCCAGTTCGCTTTGTAAATGTACGAGAGTAATCGATGTCCTGCGGCGCGGAGATGTGGATGTTGACTTTCTCTTTCGAAATAAATTGGAGTAGATATTGACTATAGTATTGTAGGATACATTCCTCTGTATTTCGCCAGTTTTGCGACAGGCAGTTAGTCTATGAATCAACCCTCGAGAAAATACTGTCGATGCATTTTTGACCAGCCAAAAACAGCAAATTACCGGTGGAAATTCCAGCAAGGGCATCCCGTCAAGTCGATGGATCTTCAGAATGGGGACGTATTTTCGCTCACCGTTGATGTCTTTTCGGTTGGATAACAAATCGCGCCTTTTGGAGAAATTTTCTGGTGTCCATTTTTAATAGCTTTTTTTACAAAGGTGTACGCCCCCCCCTATGGAGGGCGGTTGGCTTGTGACCACGGAAGGCGTCCGCGTCAGTTGGACCAGTACGGACATTAATATTAGAAAGTACGGAGTGGCGACCGGAACGGTTTTTTAATGTTGAGACACCAACAACTTCCACATACAGCGTCGTAGGTTTGAAGTACTGCTCAGAGAAAATGCAGGCGAGCCGGGCCGGCCACTCGTGGGATAAATATAAACCTTCCTTTTGCGGGTCGGCGAGATCGCAACCCGGTGCGAGATCGCGATTTCACCGACGACACCGGTGGAATCTTCCAGGAGCAAAAGCATCTCCCCGAGTCCGCAAAAATGGGTGGGGTCTAGTTGCTCACCGGTGCCATCTCCCCGACCTGCCGACCGGTAGGTGCCGTCTCTCTCCGCCTTTGACGGTACTTGCACATCGGTGTTTGATTGGGTAGCGGAGCTGTTGTATATATCACCACACCGAATTCTGTGTTACGTGTCTAGTGCCCACGCCCATCCTCACATTCCCGACGCACACAAACGGCTTATAGATGCACATACATCCATACGCCCACAGATGGACTCTATGGCCGGTGAGGGAGCCAGAGAGTGTTAAGTTGTGGGGACCACCACCACCACCAGCGAACTGCGGGCAAACATCTGCTAATATATATAATGGTGGAAAAGAAGAGAAAAGACGCTCAATTTCCCGGAAATCAATAATTTTCCGCAGAACTTGTTCATGTTTCATCTCTCCAAGCCATTTCGTGATTCCAGAATGACGAGGAGGGCGACGTCCCAGGGCACGAAACCCATCGTAACATAAGGAGGGGGTATGCCAGAACCAGCAACTAGCCGGTCCCTGGAACAAGTGCCGGTGATCGTGGAGCGCGCACCAAGTACATTGGTGCGGGATTCGACGTGCAGCGGTCGCAATGCAGCCGCCGCAATGAATGGCAGCGGCTGCACCAGGGGCGGCACAGGCACAACCCGCGGCGGTCCACAAGCAGACTCTGCCGTTTTCCTGCGGCAGCTACAACAGCAACAGCAGCAACAACAACAAGCCCAACCGGTTGCTGACAGCAGTAAGGCGCAGCAACACTTGGCGGCCATAGACGAGAACGAGGGAGGCGGGGAGAAGAGCAGCAGAAATGGTGCCGATGTTGACAGCAGCAGCAGGAGCACATTCGATGAAAAGCGAGGGGGAAAGCGTGGGGTGGGTTGGGCACAAACAACGACGTACAAGCTGCCACCAATAGAGGAGACGACACCACCAGCATCTGTTGTCCTGGAAGCAGATACCGTCAGCGCTGGGTTAGTCGATCATGAGCACAACGGTGTCTCGAACATGCCGGTCTTGAGTGCCGGACCGCACTTCTCCCACAATCCAGGAAGCTCAACAAGTTCATTTACGTCCTTGTTCAGGTTGAACAACAAACCGAAGCAAGAAGAGGGACCGCAGCGGCGGCGGCGGCACAGACAGCAGCACAACATGGATTCGTGGACACCGAGGAAAGGGGGGCGTGACACCGAAACGACACCGCCAACCTCCCGACCCCGAGTCCGCAAGATGCCCTCTATGCTCGGTATGCTGCAGAACGCGCAGGACCAGGCGGCCTCACCACCTGTATCTCCCCGCAACTCCCGTTGTCCCGGCGGCGGCAGCCTTTTTGTGGGGAAGGGTGATGGCGAGTCTTCCGCCGCTGCTGCGATCTCTGATGGAGATTCCACTGGTGGAAACGATCTAGCTGGTCACAAACACACCTCAAGGCGCATGGGCTTGGTGGGCCTTGGTGGGGGCAGGGAGGCGTCACGAAAAAACCCGACGCCCGTACCGGCCGCGGCGGTGAACAAAGGAAGGGAGCGGTCGCCTTTGGCGTCGCTGCCCATCAACCGGACGCCTACCGTCGACCACGAAGAAGCGCCAAGGCTGGTCGGCACTATACGGCGACTAAGGCAAAACTCCGTGCGGATCATCCAGCGGTTGCCGGGACCCAAGCTGCTCATGCAGGGTGAGTGAAGTACTACTGTACAAGGTGAACTGATGCTGGTGGCTTGTGCGCAGGGAATCCAGATTGGGGTGGTCGGCCAACCGATTTTGTTTGTCGACACCGACCAAGCGAACCAAACGATTTTTTTCTGGTCCTTGAGGGTATGTGTGTGTTTTCGTCCACTCAATGTGTTCTGGCGCCATTCGAGAAGGCACGCTTCTTCCCGACAAAAAACTTGCATAGGTAACTACAGGCACATTTATTTGTCTGACCTTTCCCCGACGTTGCTGGCCCTGTAACAGGGTGGATCACCGCCTTCTCTCCAACCATGAATATTCCTCATCACCAATTTTGTCTGTCGTGTTCCGTGGCAGATCGCGTACTCAGTTCATTCCCGAGAGGAATTTGAATACGATTTACCACCAGCAGGTTTTCGAGGGTCACCACTGGGCTATCGCCACGAGGGTTTTCTAGAACCGATGTTTTCGGGGTGGACAACACACCAACAGTGCACACACGTGCGTGCGTGGTGGACCACAATATTGTGTGAACACGCTGTGCAAAAGCCATCCAACCCGAATGCTCGCGTTCCTGAACAAATGATTGATCGGCAATCCAACCCTCTCAACCCGCCCCTTCGTCTGTGGTCCGCCCCCACACGAACATTATTCATCCGTCGAAACACTTGCAACAGTCCTCGAGGGAGAAATCGACCCGAAGAACGTGCGGCTCACGACTCAGTCCGAGCCGGTCATCCTGATGGAAGTGATGCCGGCGGCCCTCGTGATCTCCCTGCTGGCCTTAACCTACCTCGTCTTCACCAGCAGTGTGTTGATCATCGTGTGGTTCCACCTCCGCGGGACCACGACCCTCGCCATGGGTCCCGGGTCAGGGGAGGGGGCGGCGGAGCTCTGCGTCAGGAGTCCATCTTCGACGGCCACCGTTACCACCAGCGGGGGGGAAACAGATGTTTTCATCATCGGGGCTGACGGTCCCGACCCGTACTCCCCGTCCGCCGCGGGATGCACGGTGTTTTCGCCGGGCTTGTCGGAGCTGTCCCTCGATTCACCCCTTCTATCATCATCATCGCCAACCTCGTCCTCCTTGACGGATGCTGAGGAGCGGTACGGGGCCGTGTTCTCCGGCCAGTTTTCGGGAATGACGGACCTTTTCGGGATCGTGTCTCTGCACGTATCATTTGCCGACACCGAGGTACAAGAGTCTCTGCCCGACCCGGCCCCGGTGGACATCGCGTTGGAGGCGTGCGTGGCAGGGGTGGCTGCGGCGGTAGGCGAGAGCAGTAGCCAGGCGGACCTAGAATGGGGCACCTGCGAGGAAGGCTGGCTGCCCGTGTTGTTCCAGGTAAAACAGATTTTTGCGCACTCCACCTGTTGTATCGCCTTGTTCCGCCGCCGGTCTGTCGGAGCCGTTTTTCGTACTTTTTCAGTTTTTTTTTTAGCTTCTCGAAGGAAATAGGTGAGGGCTTCTCCTTACCGCCACCGTTGCTGCTCCTCGGCTGCAGGAACCGAAGCGGCGTCTAGGCGGACGATCGAGTCCTCCCCTAAAGTTCCCTGTATTTCTCCGTTTGTTTTCGCCTGCCAGGAGAACATCTCCGCTCGAGTTCGCAGCCTTCCTGAAAACCGAGGGTACACCCTGTTCAACTTCTACCAGAACCAGGACACCATCTGGGGGCAAGCCCTCGTTCGCCAGTATCGGGTCCAGGTATGTTTCGCACTACTCCCAGAGCATCAGTACCCAACACATCCAGGTCCTCAACAGAAGGAATTTGGCGGATTCAAGGTAACACTCCACGCTCAGAGTGACGACCGTGTACTCTGCTGAATTGCGAAGCTTTGTCTCATGGTTGCCGGTTTGGAGAAATGGCGCCGGAAGCGATGTTTCCCCTAGTTTCCGGCCGATTTAGGCTCTCTCTCTCCGTGCTTTCGCCGCTCGCCATCATCCCTGGATCGTCCAGGTTGGCTTTGTTTCCACCACCGCCAGCTCTAGCAGCACCGGCGGGAGCAGCGGCAGCGCCGAGGAGTCTTTCAGCTGGGTGAGCGAGGCTAAGTGGTCCCTTGAGTACGAAACCGGAGCGACGACGGAGTGGGCGAAGAGTGTTCTCGCAGTTGTGCTGATGTGCTGGGTGCCCGTGTGGCTAGCGTGGTGCTGGACTGTTTTCTACAAGACTTCGGAGAAAGGGTTCAAGGTGCGCTCATATTTTTGTACGCGGCGGAGGTTCCGGCGAGTTGCCATCGAAGTCGTGTACAGCGGCTCAAAGATAGACGTATTTCTCAGACATGCACCAGTCAATTTGGCACGTCTCAATGAGAACGTGGTTATGGGTTAGGTGAGCTGCCGTCTCCCCCTCGCCCGAGATTTCTTGTCCAAAGCCTGTCCTGATCAGCGAGCAGGAGCGGCTGACTTTCGGGTGCTCTGCGGAATATGCCTATGATACCCACCGTAGCTGAATACACAACAGGGGCATTGCAGAAGAAACAGTAAAGGTGACGTATGGTCTCGGTAAGACCACGTGCATTCCCCAGTTCCGCATCAAAGAATGACACGAATACCACCGATCCCTTGCTTTATCGCCTGCCTGCTCCCCCCCCCCCGGTGTCCACAGAACGCCTTGCATGAGCGGAAATGGCTGGCTTCCCTCGGTCTGTCGGTGGTATTCTACCTAAACCCCATCAAGGTGGTCGGCAACTTTGCCTTCCCCGAGTCTGCTTCATGGGGACTAGCCAGCGAGATGTGTTTCAGCGTCGCCGTGGTTATGTTTCTGGTGGTGGGTCTCTGTATCGCCGGCGGGGTGAGCAGGGACTGGGTGGGCGGAGGGCTCCTCGGCTTCTATGTCCCCAAGGTGAACGGAGCGTGCGCTGAGGCGTGTACACCCGCGTACATTGTCGACTCCGAGAATATCCCATATACCTTGAGATTTCGCACCTGTATTCCGTCGGGAAACATCAAGTATCATATCTAATCACCGTTCGTTCGTTTTCAACAACCGTCGTGCCGCACACTCCCTGTTGCGTTTCGCCTGGATGAGATCAGCCCAAAGAACGCATGCGGCGAGCGGTTGGGGAACGCTGAGAGCTTGAGTGGTGCAAAGTGGGTGCCTCTGCATATCCCAGTGGCGGGATGTAACGATCGACCACCTCTGCAGAGATCTCTGTGGTTTGCCAAGTGTACGGCCGGGCCAATCCCTAAAACAGCTACCACGCCCCGCCACACCCAAACCCCCGCTGTATGTATTTTGGTGCCTCTGTGCTGTGTTTGCTTTGACGCGCTGTTTTTGGCTGACAGGTGGTGTTTGGAGTCTTGACCCTGACGTGTATGCTGCTGGTGAACCTCGTTAGCTTCCCCACCGTCGTCGGGATTGATCGCGGGTCGCTGCTGGCGGTGCACAACTGGCCTGAATCCCAACAGCACATGTTCGCATGGGTGGGTGACTCGGGTCGGATTGGTGGAACAGCAGCAGCACGCTTGTGGACAATGTGCCGAAAAGCATTGTTGGCGGGGGGAGGGGGGAGAAGCGCCATGCTGTTGTTTTGTTGTGCGCTGTCCGACGGACATTGATAAGTACGACTTATTGTACTATATTCTTCTGTAGGGGGCGTTTCTGGCGGGTTCGTGTGCGAAGGTCGTTCCAATTATGGAGCGAAGGATGTATCGACAGACAGCTGGCGTTTGCCGCTTACACGTAGTAGAAGAGACATGGCGCAGGGAAAATACACGTACGTAGGAATATCGTGACCCACCCCGCTGCCAAGGCAACGAACATCTTGCGCCCTGTCTTATTGCATCGTCGGTACGTCGACATCAAAATATTCATCACAGGCGGCCGCCGCGCGCATCTTGATGGTGAGGGTGTGGGTGGTGTGGATATTGTTCTGCATGTACACCTCGGGCCGCCTCTTGAGGAAGCTCCCCTACGTGCCGAACCGATTCCGGCAGCTTTCTTACAGGTTCTTCGGTCTCCAGGTGCTCCCTTGTTTTGATTGTTGTTGCCGTGCTGATAATGATGCTCGTATGGGGTACTGCTGCTGGTTGTGCTTGCTCACATCCATCGGTTTGCGTAGCCAAACCACGCTGCTCCCCTACACGAGTAGTTCCACAAAATGCCGTAGGGGCCGTCAGCACTCTGTACCCTCGGGCATGAGTTCATTATTTTTCGTCTGGCATCGGTTTCTCTTGTCCTCTCCATTGACATGCTTGTACATGTTCATGCGCTTAAAACTCGGGATGGTTTCGTCTGCTTGATTCCTTGCAAAGAACGAAGTGCACCATTTAATGGGCGGTAGAAGGAAGGCCGCATCCCGTTGCTGGCATGAGAACATGATCCATTTTTATCGATGGGCGATTTGTATATTGGGTTTTGAAGCAGGTTCCCTCCTGCAACAGTCTGGATTGATTCCTTTGCGGGCTTCCCACGGCTCGTTTGTGCCCGAAAGGATCATGATATTTGGTCCCCTAAGCGTGATTGCATGTCATTAGCGGTGCAGAGCGGGATCGTTGGTCACCGGCGCATCAGGGAGTTTTTCCTGGGACGGCACGGAAGACCCAACCAATCCAACGTCATGCCCAAGCAGAGAATATACGTAACCATGTCTGTCGCCGTTGTCTTACGTATTCTTTTCTGTTGGGATTTCCCCGTGAAACGTTTGTTCTGTCATTTTGGCAGGCTATTTTGCTGGGTGTCGTGTACGTGATGTTCGCACTATGGCGGCTAGTCGACACCCTCAACGATGACGTGGGTGGAAAAACCCTCGCCGCTCAACTCTTGCTCTCGGTCAAGGCCAGACAGGTACCTACCTATACCTATGACGGCTTCACCTTGTGTGATACTTTCGGCATCCTAGTGTACATCGATGGCTTCTGCGAAATCTCTCGACGTTGTATTCATGTGTTTGTTGAAGAGCTCGCGCCAACATAAGTCAAGCAGTGGAAGGGCTTGGCGGGTACGGTAAAGGGGTTACGCGGAACGAAAGGGGGTGGAGGTAAGCAAGGGGAGAGAAACCCTGACAGGGAAACGTCCGTGGAGTGTTGCTCTTGTATCCCTCTGACCTCTACTCCTCTAGTTTCAGTCGACGCCGCTGGTTGGGGTTCGCAGGGACCGCGATGAAATCTCACCTGTCTCGACGCTTACCCATGCCTCGATTGTGCGTCTGCTGCAACGTTTCGGTTGTTTGGTTGGTCTTCCATTTGTATCTTTGGCCGTCGTGACCGGTATAGTCTAGGCGTTTGTCCAACCTCAGACAACAACCATCCGTGAGCGGCACCAACGGTCAGGACTGGTGCTGTGACAATATCATGGGCGGTTGTGGACACATTGTTGTCCAATATGCCGCCCCCGCCAAGGCCCTAGCTGACCCAACCGAAAGCGTCTAAGATAATTTGGGAGTGGTCACTGCACCTGGCGCATGTCTTGTTTTTTACCTTGCTTCACCTCTGGTTTTGTTGTCGATCTGTGGATCTTCTTGCCAGGACCACCTCGCAACGGTATCGATCTTGTGTGCTTACACCCTGCAGCTGTTTGTGCTCTTCCTGCCCTCGTCATTGAAAGAGTCCAAGTTCCTCAGGAATATCGCGGTAAGCTGGCTTTTGCGTGTGATTGGAGTAGGAGCTGGGCTGAGGGGAGAGGAATTCTTCGTCCCCCGTCGTTTTGCTGTATACCTATCTATTTGTTTTTTTTAGGCTCTGCCCTGGATCCAACCGACCGAAACAGTAGTTCACGAATCGTCTTTTGTCCTCTCAAGTCTCCCTTAAGGCGAAACCTTTTCTCCAAGTCTAGCCATGCACCTCGTACTATGTCGCGGTTGTATTTGTCCGCCCGTTGGTGCAATCGGAATCTCTCATCGTGGCTATCGGCGTCTTCGAGACTAGGTGCGCTTCGTCTACTTCGAAGAGCACCTGCCGATCGCCATGCGGAAGAGCAGGGGGCGGGGAGTTCACGGCCGCGCCCGCGGGGGTCAGGCGAGAGACGAAGATCCCATCTTCCAGGGCACAGCCTTGAACCGCGGGGAACACCCGAAAACATCCCCGGGGGACGTCGGGAAGGAGGACGAGGAAGAGAAACCTATGTTCTGCGTAGAGACGGCCGCGTGGTGAGCCATGAGGAGAGGTATTGTCTGTCACTAAAGTAGTACGGGGGAAGAGCGGGAGTGGAGGCTGCCATGATGAGAATCACCACACTCTCGCACCCATGATCTCCCTGCCAGCGACGACAAACCGCACCCTCTTCCGCATTCGTTAACTGCTGTTTCCGTGCCTCACATCGTTTCACTTGGTGCCATTTAGCCCCGCCCCACACACTCGGTAGCCTCGCCTCCTCCTCCCCCCCTGGCGGAAGATACGAAAAAGCGTGCACTGAGCAAGGTTGTCGGAGGTGCCCCCATTACTAAATGCAAAGGTTGTACGACACGTAGGAGATGCGTGGTCAATGGTGAAACGACCAAGGCAAGCGACGCTGAAGTGCGCCTCCCCGTCCCTCCCTCCCTCCCTCCCTTCCTGCCTGCCTGCCTTGCGCCTCACCCCGGCACCGCCCTCCTTCTGCCCACGTGGTGACGGCCTCGGTCAGGCTCCTGGAGCTGGCGTATGAAGCATACTCCGACCCGGTAGGGTTCAAGAACCCCCACAACTACTTTCTCCAGCCGCTGAGTTTAGAGAGGGTGGGGTTCGAGCTGGTGCGGCACATCCACAACGTCGAGCACGACACACACTGTTTCGTTTTCAAGGACGTGCCGAGAGGGGTACGTGTTTACTGTGATCTTGACACTATAGCGAGGGACAATCTTGCCAGAAACGTTTTCCTCCTGGAAACACTTGGCACCCCTTATGTTTTCTCGTGTTGGGAGCGCTCTCGTGTTTGTGGAGTTTCTCTCTCGTTGACGGAGTTTCGGTCGACAGTCAGGCCCTCTGTGTGTCGTTGCATTGTCTTTTTGGGAGTTAAAATGTGCTGGTTGTGGGTCAGCTTCTGTGGGGTAAATATGATATTCTTGGTACGGGTAGTGCTCCACTTAAATCGGTCACTCGTGGTACCTTCCTACCGTGCGGACTTGCTCTCTCTCTCTCTCTCTCTCTCTCTCTCTCTCTCTCTCTCTCTCTCTCTCTCTCTCTCGCTCTCCTCTGAGAATTAGGTCTCCTGGGTAGCACAGAAACGATATCCTGCCGCGCGTGCATGTCTTCCACACTGTCGCGAGAAAGGGGCAGCACTCAATCCTCTTTCCCTAATCCTGGGACGAATCTACCGAATTCTGGGCTTGGTGGTTTCAGTCACGATCGAATACGGACATGCGTGGCTCTCATATCTTTTCATCCACCCGTCTTTCGCTTCGCGGGTGGCTTCCCCTGTTTACCGATGACCACGTGCAACCGTTTCCGGGCGTTTTTTTTTTCTCGGTCGCTTCCCGTTCGTTCCAATTGTCGATGCAGCGCCTCGTAGTATCGTTTCGCGGATCGGTCGGAACCAAACACTGGATGGACAACCTAAGGTATGCTGATACTGCCGCGTATTATTCATGGTTGTTGGGTGAAAGGATATCTAGATTCGGATCACGAAAATGCACTCCTTTGCAGCGGGGGGAGGAGCGTTTCGGGAGATGAGGGTTTTCTGTGCCAGTGTTTCATACACGTGTCGTTGGAGCAGTGTTGAATATATGTAGTTGGCCGTGCATCTCCACGTGCAAACCTTTTTCTGAACGTGGAAGTCGAAAAGACCGGGGTGCAGCAGCAAGTGCTCGCCAATATCCCACGGCGGAAGGAGGCGCTTCCACTACCCGCGAGAACCCAGCGTATTTGTGTGCCATGCATTCGTCTGGGCATCGATGCATTGTTCACTTTTTGTACTTAGGACACACCAGCCGGGGTTACGAAGGAAGGCCACAAACCGAGTGTTATTGTCAATCTTCCTATGCCACCCAATATCCCCGGGCCACCCAGGTTTTTGCAGTCGGAGTTTAACTTGGATCGTATGATGCCGACGGGCCGAGAGCACGAGGCGACGAAGGTGACAGAAGAAGATATCGACGTCCAGGCCGCAGAGTCGCTGCACGGCGTCGTGGCGCACATAGCCTTTGCGAGAAAAGAGGTGGGTCGGGGTGCGGGCTGTGTGGCCGGACGGTAATCATGATCATGCGTGCATGCCGCCAGAGAGTCAGACAGCATAGATCGATCCCTACGCTGCCGGAACAGAAAGCGGGGGCGGTGTAGTCCTTATCATGAACGTCGTGGTATGAACGAACAACAGTAGTCTCATCCCCGCGCTCTCGGGACAAAGAGCCTCACTGGATTTCACCGACTAGACCCCCATTGCACCGGGTGAACATCGACCGCAACGCGTCTTTCGGCGAGGAGCTGGAAAGCGTTCCGTTCCTGAATGACTTTTCTTCAGGCCATATTGGCCGTGCATTGACATCGCATGCCGGGAACAGAGGGACACCGGCAACTTTCGTGCCCCGAGTAGGGGCACCCCGGAAAATAAGGGCGCGTGATTTTTTTGTGATCATGATACGGCGTGCATCAGAGACAGCTCGCAGCTCCTAGCCCGCTTCCCCGGTGTACTGATGCGCCCACTATCGTTTCTCTCGTAGCGTTGGGGTGCCGCAGTGTCAGCGGCCGAATACGAGAAAGGGGAGGCACGATTGAACATGTTGGTTGTGCTTGCGCGCAGGGTAAATGTGGTTGTCTGATGCAATACGTTGAGAAACCTGTGGAGTAGCCACGAGCGAGCTGTGCGAGCCGTGCAACAGGGTGACATCGTTTTATGAGATGTACAGCGGCTCCGCGGGGAATAACCGGGAATGTCGATGACATGAAGCATGAGACAGTCAATCATTTTTCCTCTTTGTTTATTTCTCGAAATTTCGACAGGCAGAAGAGGGGTACGGCGACGTTTTCGAAGAACACAAAGCACCCGCGGGAGGAACACAAATCGCCCCGTCTCCTGCCGTCGTTGCGGGCATAGGCGGTGTACCCCCATCCTCCCTACTGTCTTCGCCCCACGTCGCCGAACCCCCCCCTGCTGATGCTGGTGCTGGTGCTGGTGCTTCTGAAGGACGTGAACGTGTCGGTGTTGGGCCTAGCGGAGGTGGCGGAGGTGCCGGCGAAGAAGGGGGAGTCGCCAACAGGTCTCCTCCGTCTCCGTTTCCCTCTCCGTCCGCCCCCTGCCCAATAGGCTCCCCGCGCAGAGGGTTAATAGCGAGCGTGGGGAATGTCGCCCCTCTGCGGCTTATGGGTAGCAACTCCGTGTCGCTGGTGAGCGACGTCGAGGACGGGGAGGGAGAATGGCTCCCTCGAGGGAGCGCCGCCGGCGCAGCCGCCGCCGATCAAGGGGGGGGTAGCATCAGCGGGGGGGGAACAAGGTCCATGTGCACCGAGAGCTTTGAAGGAGGAGTAGAGCTGCTTGGAGGGGTAGGCGGCCCGGGGGAAGCCCAGGGTGGTCGCGGCAGTTCTTCGCGCTCGCACAGGGGACAGTCGGGATCATTTGACCATGCGGCGACAGTACAGGCCGGAGGTGGAGAAGATGCCGCACGCTCGAGGAACGGGGGGGGGCGGGGAGCGGGGGGAAAGACGGCGTGTAACATGGTGAGGGAGGGGTAGGGAATTCGCTTCCTTCCGCAGGAGGGAGCTGGCGAGGAGTTCCGGTGATTAGTTAGTATAGCGCGTCAGTTGCAACAGATTGAATACATGTGACGTATAGGCGTGAATCGGTGATTTCGTCGCGAATGGCTCTCGCTTGTAGTCGGCATCGCCATTCGCTGTGTTTCCGGTTCGGGCTTTGTAGCCGTCCCGTGCTCGAGCACTGCTGTGTTCCACACATTGACGCCCCGTGGAATTCGTGACCTTGGGAGGTCCGATTCGTGGCTGGTGTCGAGACAACCCTCGCCGTCTTCAAAACGAAATGCGACACTGAGCGCACAACGTGTTGGTTTCTCAAGTGCGGGCTTCCTTGTATTTCTACTTCATGCTCCTTGACGAAATTACTTCTAATTTCGAATACAACAACGGAAAAAACGACTGTCAGGGTGGATCACCGGGCGCGATGGAAGGTCCGGGTCCTAAATTCGTTGGACCAAAGGAAGACTTGGTGCGAGGCGAGAATACGGGGTGTAACATGGTGAGGGAGGCGGCCAGGCGGGGGGTTGAGGCCGTGGACAAGGCCGTCGACGCGACGGGCATCAACCGCATCCCCTTCCTGAAACAGTGCCTTTGGGGACAGGTGCACACGGGCTTCTGGAGCGCCTACGAGGTAAATGGTTGGCATGAAAATGGTTTGACACGACCATGGCTGAAATGTGTAGTGTCCGCCGTCAGGATGTCTCTTGTTGTTTGGTCCATTTGTTGTCGTGGTTCATGTGAGGAGCTTAAACTTCGAGGGGGGGTTGTGGAAGACAGCACTAATACAAAATGTTGCGGTTGAGGGCAATCGATAGGCCGTTCTGTGTGCAGTTCTAATTAAAAAAATTCAATTACCTTGGCGTATCCCACCACTGTCTGTTCAAGTGTTCGCCGCACGTAAACAAGTTGATTCCCCGGGAGGTGCAGGCGCGGTGCTCGAACATAATGAGCTCGCGCCATGGACATACCCCGGGTTAATTCTCCAAGCTGAACGATTGCAAACCGGGCAATGTGTATTCCGTTTGGAGGAGGGCGTTGACGATGTTCTGACAGGATCCTCTCGAAAGACGCGTCGTTCAGGTCCTGGCCACTAACGCTGTTGAGCCATCGAGCTTGGAGCACCGACCTGGGGGCTGTCATGTTTCGTCGACGTTCGGGGTAGAGGGATGCGAAGTCAGGTTCCCTCAATAGTATTGGTCCCGAGCAGGGCAGGGTCCCGATGTACTGCGGGCAAAATCGTTTCGAACTGGATTTGCCGACTACGGTGAAGCCTCGTACTGGCCCAGTCCACGCTACCACTGCGGAGGTCCCGCGATCGGACGATTCTCACCTCTATACCGTATTCTTGAGGGATCCTGACGGTAGGTTTCCCCGGTGGTCGTGAGATCCGTACTTTCTCACGCTGTCCTCCCGATGGCTGCGGTGATCCGACGCGCACGTCCCCCACAGCAACAATCGTTTGTCGTCGTTCGCCCCCGTTTCCAAATGCGCACCGATACGTCAGTGTGTGCGGGGAGAACTCCACGCTTGCGTTCGCGAGACATTAATCGACTGGATACTCAGCCAGGACAACCCTACAGACATCAAGATCTACGTGACGGGGCACTCCATGGGCGGCGCCTTGGCGACGCACAGCGCGATGGACCTCAAGGTATGTGGTTGGGTTCCTTGTCTAAGAGCAGGTAGTGGGGGGGGGGGGGGGATCCTCGGGCCCTCGAACACTAACCAGACGTGGTACAAGTAGTAGTTTTCCGCGCTTCGAACGATTAAGGATCTCGATTCTCGGACCCAGGCAGACATCATGCATCAAGGTGGTGCAGCCCAGAGCTATCGACAAGAGACAGCAGGGAGAAATGGGAGGGTGTCCTGCACTCACTGTTGATATACGCACAGTTTTCTTTCATTGTGTGTGGTATTATACATGGGCCACTTGTTGCTGTCGGGGGGTCTATGATGGCGGGACGCGTAAGGTACGGTGACACACTCTTTTCGCCACCCTTGTTGTTGATACACGAGGTGGGCATTGCGACGGTGCGGTATTGATATCCTTCCAGGGACTCATGCCCCCGCCACCTCAATTCACTAGTACCCACGCAGGCAGTATTGTCGGTGAGTTTTCTCACGCGTGTTCGTGCCAAGAGGATACCGTCCTTTCTTCAGAATTTATTTCGATTTCCCTCCAGATCCATAAGCTTTAAGGACAGCCCCTGGTCCGTTTCGTGGTGCTTAATGTTTACTCGGACGCCGCGATCACCTCTCCAAAACTCTAGTTTGGATCTCGGAACTATTCTTGTGACATTTCTCAGACATCCTTGAACTATCCTCCACCGGCTCACACGGTAGATCCAGGTGTCCGCGCTGATCTCCTGACTACACGTCTACTGCAGCCAACAATGTTAGACGTAGCTTGGTTGCTATGAGAAGTTGGCGATCAGAAAGGTCTCCCGATTTGGAGGTAGACGTTGCGGTGTGACTTCTTCATTCCCTCGATTGATCACCCTGGCGCGGATCGGAAAATCCTGCAATCCTCCACTATGTTGTAGTGCGAACTCTAGTCAAGTAGCATCATCATGGCCATTCGCGCACGCTATCCGCACCTGACCCCTGGAACTTGTTGCTGAGAATTGCGAAGCGAGCCCTGAAGTCACAGCACGTTTGTGGTGATTGTAGGTCTCAAAAAAAAAGAAGCATGATGTTTTTCATGCTTCGAAGTAGCGAGCGGCCGCCTGTGTGAGGGATACCAACGATTGCAAAGGGCTTGACGAGGTGGTGGGTCAGCGGCAAAAGGTTAGGGTGAGACGGTGCACTTAATTATTATAGCGTGCACTTCAATCATTGGTCGAAACATGTGTAGGTGAACGTTTTCCCGACATATCCAAGATCAAAGCGCCAAGGGGTGTCGTCTGCATGTATTATTCGATAGTCCCGCCATTCCCAGCGGGTTTCGGATTCTCGCTTCTGTTACTTTTCGTGCGTACGACTTCTATCTCCGCCCCCGTTCCTTTTGTCCGACCTGTTCCTTCTTTTCCCATCCGTGCTGTTCGATCGCACCAGCTGTTCACTATCGACAAGATACAGGCCCGCCTCGGAAATTTCATGCGCATGCGGCAGACGTTGATGACGGTGGCGGGTTGTCTCCCCACCGTAGCCAGCAGCAGCCGCGTGATGGTAATAACCCCGAGGACACTGCACGCGAGAATGGCCCTGGTGGTGGTAGCAGAGGCGGGCGGACGGATATAACGGGGCTTCAGAGGGACGGCTCGCAGGCACCGCCACGGCCTCCACCATCATTATCATCGCCGACGTTGCCTGGCAAGGGAAACCCCAAAGCGGCGGCGGCTTGTGGGCAGACTGTCACGGGCGGTAGGGAGGAGGGCCACAACCCCCTGCAAGGGCTGGCGAGAAACCTGAGCAGGCGGTTTCAGACGATGGGCGGGAACCGCGCGAGGGCAAAAGGGGCCGCTCCTCATCGTGAGAGCGACGAGAGCCGTAGCGATGGCCGCCGTAGCACCTGCTCCGTCTCCTCTAACAACGGCAACGATGGCGAGCGGCCCGGCGACATGAGTGTCCTCAGCAGGATGGCCTCGCGTCTCACCACCGTCGCGAGCTCGTTCGGCCCCCGGAACCGTGTTCTCAGTCCCACGCCGCGGCGTCCCTTTTGGGGCAGTGAGGTGGACGGCGATGGACGCGGGAAGGCGGAAGAGCCCCCCCCGGACCCTAAGCTCGAACTATGCATGTATTCGTTCGGGGCGCCCCGGGCAGGCAACGCAATATATGCCG